TGAATAAAAATCGGGGTTAAATAGTGAAAAAATAGGTGAAAATTGGCTGGTGTTTGTGCTTGTGCTTGAGACTTGTAATTCTCAACTAGTTAAAGCTTTGCGCAGGTTGTGAGCAAAATTCAGCTGAATCTGATAACGGAAGATTCTTGAGATAGTTAAACAGAAAATTATTTAGAGATAAATGTTTGAAAATGTATAGTTTGTGAAAAACTGTTTAATTTACCAATTTATTGACGATATAACATGCTGTAAGACTTTTCTAATTATTTGCGAGAGTTTTGAATGCGGTCATATGGAGAAAAAAAGGTAAAAAAAATAGTTAAGGGTTTATGTTAACGTAATCAAATTTGGTATGCTTCAAGATTAATATAATTTAGTTGGTCGGAAAAAAAGATATATATTGTAAAGCAAATATCCGTCGGGTATTATTGAGTATGTGAATATTTTTGTTTAATATTAATTTATATATTTCTTCTAAATAGTCCAAAAAGAAGAAAAGTTCATGTTTTAGGTCAAAATGACTTCTGCTTCAAAAAAATCCGTAAACGAAAAAGATATGTTTATTTTTGTAAAAATAACTTCTTCTGCAAAAGCTTTTCCGCCTCTATATATTAGAAAAATAATAGAATTTCTTCTATCTTATTCAAAATGGAAAATTGGCATGTTTTTTGTCCAAAATGCTTCCTCTTTTTCTGCTTCAAATGCTTTTCTTCGTCTATATAATCAAGAAATATGAATTGGACATGTTTCTTGTTAAAATAGTTTCTTCTTCTTTTCCAAAAGCTTTTCTTCTTCCATACAATCCGAAAAGGAAAAGGAAATTTTCTTTCGTTTTACTAAAGCCCTCGACTAGTGTATAAAAAAGGCAAATATCAAAAATTTCAACAATATCAAACAAAATTATTTGTCAATAAAAGTTGCAGCTGATAGGAATTTGCATTTCTTGACTGTGTGTCAATTTATCAATATATTATTATTATTAATATTTTTGGCCATTTTGGGCCATTTCGAAAGAAATCGTTGTGGAAAAACCCGCGAAGAACTTGTTGTCGCGAGTCTAGAGTGGGTTAGAATGTCGTGTATATATATATATATATATGTATGTGTGTGTGTATATATGTATGTCTATTTGTATCTGTCGCATAGCTAAAAGATACCAGATAGCCAGCCTAGCATGCGTTACGCCCACATCGAACCACAGATGTGGGCTAACTTTTTAACCAAAACTGTCGCAGTTTCATTATGCCCAAAAAAAAAAAGATGAAGAAAAATATTGTGTATATGCCATATGAACTGCCATAAAACCCAGTTTTAATGTTTGTTGTACTAAGTAGCTCCTAAAATGATTATTGTTGTTGTTGTTGTTGCTGTTGTTGTTGTCTGGTTGATGTAGGGCGACGGCGAGTCTGTCAAAGATTGGCCATTGTTCACGAATAAACTGGTCGCAGTTAAGAAAAAACAAATATACATATATATATATATATGTATATGTGCAATTTATCCAAAAAGAAGCGTGAACAATTTACACAGAGCAACAGCAACAAAAAGGCAACACAATTAATACATGTACATATATAGAACATTAAATAAAATAGCCAAGAAAAACATCAACAACAATTTTAAATAATACAAAAGCGAAAATAACAAAAAAACAACAAATTTATTTTATTTTATTTTTTTTCGTTGCCAGCGCACACGACGACGGCAGCGACGCTGGCAGCGCGGCAGCTTTGCTGGCGGCGCAGGCCTCCATTCATTATAAACGGTTTCATTCATAAAAACGACTCTGGCGAGCGAGTGAGCGAGCTGCATGAATTCGCCGTGTGGCGCTCTTTGACTCGACTGAATTCGCTCGACTCGTTGCGAATTCGCTTTCGCTGGACTGTGATTTGCGCTCGCTGAAACGAGTTGAGTTTTGTGGCATTGGAGAGGAAGTTTCGAGTGTCGACTATGCGTGTGTGTGTGTTTATTTGTGTGTGTGTTACATACAAAAATACATATGTACACAGAATATGTATGTATGCATACATTTAGCAAGCCATTTTGATACTATGCCATATAGTAAATATACATATATATATATATATATATATATATACGTATGTATTTATGTATGTGTGTGTAGATATTTGTGTTTCGCTTCCTTCTGCCCTGGAAAGTTCATGCTAATCTGTGCCTTGGCACCCAATAGTCTGTGTTCCAAGCTAGTCCGTGTTTTTTTTCTGTCTTAGTTGTTATCTGTAGTCGATCCGATTTGCTTGCTATCTCCCCCGATTTTGAGGCTTGGCTTATTAGACAACAAACAACTCTTCACGCTCGCTTTAACTTTTTGTCGTTGTTGTTTTTTTTTTCAACGCACGTCGCTGTCGACGTCGCTGCTGCTGCTGCCGTTCTTGTTGTTGTTGTTGCCGCGCACTTTTTATGTTGAAGCCAAGAAAAGTGCTACTGGTTTTGAGATTTTATTTTAAAGTCGCTGCGCACAGTTGCCAACGCGCCGCAGAGTCGTGTATTTTTCATTTGACACTGACTGCGCGAAGCACTCGGCAACTCTGCCGAACCTCAACAGCAACAACAACAACAACAACAGCAGCAGCAGCCCAACCAGAGACCAGCCACAGCCAGCCAGCCTGCCAGCCAGACAACGTTGAACCAGTCGTTGATGTGTTTGCCTTTCAATATCTTTCACACTGGAGAGCGTTTTCTTGTTGAAGTTTCACATTCGATTTGACTCACTTCTTAAATAACCTAACTGATATATGTTAAATAGACTCTTTACCCTAAATATATTGTATCTTATATTACGAAACAGCTTGCCAACTGTGTGGCTTAGTTGTATAAGCTTTGAACCAGCAAAAGAGAAATAGCTGCTTCAACTTCATTTTGCATTTGGTACTATTTACATTACTACAGCTGCATTAAAGTGTTTAAATATGAATGTTTTGAAATTCCAAAACGTAGCCTCTCAATCGACTGAGCAGCATTTGAATTGATTTAAACAAGCACTTTGAACTGTTTGCACAGGTGAATGCTTTGAGACAATGGTCCCGCCTGTTGTTAACTTTTCTACTCACACCACACACTGGCACGACAAGAACAACAACAACAACAGCAGCAGCAGCGTATGCTTACCTCATGCAACATTCAGATACAGATACTTACTCGCACACAGATAAACACTCAAACAGACAGACACTCACACACACACACACACACACACACACACACACACACACACACACCACTTGGCAGCTGCAGCTATTCATGCATAGACAACAACCAGCAACAACAACAACAACAACAACATCGCCGCGGTTTTGTAGCTACTTTCGCCTCGCTGTGTGCGTATTTTTCATTCATATTGGCAGCCAACGCGAAACAGACACACGGCAACGCTCATTGAGGCTGATTTTTTATGGCCCACCGCAAAAAATTTGGTGAAAATATGCAACTAGCTGAGATTCATTAAAAAAACAAAAACAAAAAAAACACTCAAAATCGAAGCAGTGGGGAAAATATGATTTGAGTGTTTGAATTTTGTTTTTGGTTTTTGAATTGGAAACGCACTCGTGTGGTGAATTCTTCGCGTAGGCAGCGCCTAACCGACAGTGTGTGTGTGTGTGATTGTGTGTGTGTGCGTCTGTATGAGTGTGTGCTAGTGTGGTGTTGAGTAGGGGGGTGTGGGCACTGCAGGGGGTGGCGGCTGCTGTTCCTACAGCTTGTTTGCGCGCTGTTTGCTTTTAAATTTAAATGAATGAAAAATAAAAAAAAAACACTGGCATGAATTTGTCGCAAGTCCACACAGCGAACCGCCCCACGCACCGCACCGCACCGCTCCCCGCCTCGCCTCGACCAGCACGCACTGTAAAGCCGAGCCGTCATCAGCAAAGGCAACGGCAACGGCAACGGCAACATGAACGCGGCGAGCGAGCGCGCCTACAAGTTGGCATATTTTCAATTTCCGTTTTTTTAAAAACAACAACAGCAACACAGCAAAGCCCCCAACACTCAAACAGGCACACACACACACACAAACACGCATATACGGCACGCACACCAACAAAGCTGCACAGCCCCAAAGCTTATGTTGGCGTCGGTTGCCGCTGACGGGCATCGGGCAACGAGCAGCGGGCAACGGCGGTGGCGGCAACGTCCGGTTGGTTTTTAGTACGAAAATTCGTCGCCGTTGCCGTCGCCGTCGTCGTTGCCGTCGTCGCTTATAGCATAGGCTTCGTGCGCTTTTGAGGCCTGTAGTCGCTGCATGTGGGACAAGGGCGCTAGCTGTTGGCGGGGGGCTTAAGAAAGGCCGACCATGTGTTGTCGCCTTACAATGCTGTGTAGTTCAAAATTGTTTTGTAGTCACTCGAGCAGCGTGAGTGCAGCGAATTCATTGAGTTAAAGAGCGAATTCGCTTGCGCTCTCGTTAATGATCAGCCATATACATACATACACACAGAGGCACACATACACAAATATATATGTATACATATCATATTATACCAGTCGGATTTTGCGAAACGTGTTTTGTGTAAGAGTGCATTTGCTTGAACAGCAATAAAAAGCAATCAAGTAACATAAATATGCAAGTAGATATATATAAATTGTAAAATTCCAATTACATATTGGAGTATACGTAATATCTAAATCAGCAATAACCAATAATATACACACCTTTAACAATAGTGGAATAACTAGCATTTATAATTAAGAAAACTAAACAACATTTACAAGCATTACACCGTCAATTACATATAAATATATATTTGGCAAAAAATATTGTTTCTACCCACGTATTGCTATTAGCCCTGACAAAGGCAGTGAGCGGAACTGCTTTTAGCATGCGCTCATGTCCGACTGGGTACTAGCCGCACTCACACAACTGCGCTCTCAGCGCGCTCTTTTCGCCGCACATACAATTTCAGAATGAAACGTATTCGCCGTTGAAAAAAGCAAACGGTTGCCAGTACGTCGCTTGAAACTCGGCATTCATTTCGCTTCAAAAACTTTGAGCGTGTACACAGTGCAACGTGAACGGAGCTGAGCAGAGCGGCTGCCGCGAAGAGTATCATTTTTTTAGCCTGGCATATTAAACATTCACTTAAAACAATTTAACAACAATTCAAATCGCACATAACGAACCGACGACCAGTAACCAGAGCAATAATTAAGTTCAAATTCAAATGAAATATTGTGCAAAATATAGTGAGTTTTCAAATGTTGTTTGTATTTAATAAATGATTTGCAAATGCAATCGAAAATCTATTTTGGAATTACAAATTGCTTCCAATGGAAATCATGTGCCTAAAAATGTAAATTGCGCAAAGAAAATCGACGTCTATTTAAAAGTCCAACAACAACAACAACAACAACAACGACCACGGCAAAAATATCTAGCGAAAAAAAACACAAAAAAAATTTCAATTCAAATACAAAACGTGTTAAGCGAAAAATAAAACAACAGCAAAAGCAGCAGCTACAACAACACCAACAAGCACAACAACAGCAGCAGTAACAACAACACCAACAACAACAACAACAACAGCTACAACAGCAGCAACAACAACGACACACGAAATTTGTCTATATAAAATTGCATAAAAATATTTTTTTACTGTAGTGTGTTGTCGTAGCGCACAAATACAGCTGCAAAGCGACACTCACACAGCTGCAGCCGTCGACGTGGCCCCCGTCTAAGTGTTTGTCCGTGTGAGCATGTGTGTGTGCGTGCCAGTGTACATGTGTGTGTGTGAGCCGCAGTCGCTGTCAACGTCAACGTCAACGTAAACGTCGCCGTCTCCGTCACCGTTACCGTCGTCGCTGTCGCCGTCGTCGTCGTCGCTGCTGCCGTCGCAAACGTTCATTTATTATTATTATTATATTTTTGGCACGCAAACCTGTAACAGTCGCCTGTGCTGCCAGCGTCGCCGTTTCCGTCGCAGTCGCAGTCGCTGTCAACGTCGCGTTTTGTGTTAATTAAATTTACTTTTGTGAATGAAATGCGAAAAAAAACCAGCAAAGCGAATAAAAAAATCTTTTTTAATATGTACATAAATGCTAAATAAATAACGCAAGCAGCAAAGCAAAGCTACGCCCGTCTATTTGTATATACACATACACACGCGCACACAAATATATATATAAATATATACATATAAACACACACACACACACACACACGTATGTATTATGTGCCGCGATCGCGAGTAGTCGAAATAAAGGCCACCAAATTCAAGTCAAATCCGAGTGCCCCAAACGCGCCAACTTTGGATTATACGAGCATATAAACGAGTACGCAGCATTAATTGGATATATACACATAAATATATATAGTCCGAATCAGATCGAACGGATTATACAGCCCGCAACATTTTCATATTGGATTTTAACGGATTGCTTTTGAAAATCAACGTAAGTTTCCAAACCAGCTCGAATAATATCTGGAATCTCTCAATTAATCGAATTGTTCAGCCTTCGCGACATATCTCAGATATCAGGAAATGCACAATTACCAATTTCCACGGCTGACTTGTGGCAGGGTCGTGACAAATGCAAATGTTCATTTATGTCTATAAACAAATACACACACACACACACACACACAGCTATATATGTTTTATAGCATAGTATTTTCTAGTAAACAACAACAGGAAGGATTATTTTGAGCTTTAATCAAACAAGCTAATAATTTATGTAGGAAATGTTTACACTTTCTGTGTGTGTTTTCTTTCTCGAGAGATTGTCGCAACATTTTTGCCGGAAATTCAAGTTTCGTTTTATTAATCAATATTATTTATATATGAGATAATTTTGTAGTTAATATGTGACTATAAAATGTAATTTCTTGACTATTGGGCGTGTGCTCTTCGGGTATTATTATATATATATGTATATATAATATTATATATGACTTACTGGGGGCATCTCTATAGGGTTGAGATCAAATTGGGATTGATTTAAGTATTTAATGCTTTTCAATCGGTTCTTGTTTTGTGCTTGATTTAAGTCCATTTGGTGGTATGTGCAAATAAAGTCTGAAACCAAGTCCCAAGTTCAAAGTAAATTTTGTACTTGATTTAAGTTCATGAAGTACTTAATGTTGGTCTGTAAAGGTTCAATTAAAGTTTAAAAATCTGGTCTAAATCTCCAAGACTTAAAACAATTTTCTCAATTGATTTAAGTCCATTTCTAATTCCAATTCTATAATTATTATAATTATAAGAAAAATTCAGTTAAATGAAATACATGACTAAATAAGATAATTTTTCAATAGGATTAAGAAATGAAAAGTTGGACAATTTTCGGGATATTTTTGAAAAAATCAATTTGAATTATTCTGCATTTTTTCATATTTAATACTTCTTAGAAATGTTTATAGCAAATGTAATTAGCTTTCTATATCAAACACTGTGTAACATGTTGCGTGATAAAATCGTCATATGCTCCGAAAGGGTATCAAACGAACAGAAATATGTTTAACAGACTCTGCAGTTGTTTGTTTGTCTCGTCGCGCGGCTATTTACCGATCTGCCAGGCAGATAATGCGACGGCACATAATAAAGATTAGAATTTGTGTAAAATATAATATACGAGAACTGAACGAAAACAGTTTGTTCAATAGTTGTATATAGTTCTATATGCATGTATATACATATATATATATATGTGTCTGATCGATCGGATGCGATCGGCTTTGATGCGTTTGTCTCGCGCTTCATTGTTGCCCGGCTGATAAGGCCTGCCGATTATGAACTTGCCCATTCACTAAATCTGCCAGTTGTCTAATCAGTTTCTCACTCATCGTCACTCACACCTGAGCACCCAAACACCCAAACACTCAAACAACCAAACACTCGAGCACTCTTCCAAAGTTGGCTCTAATCTAAAAGTCAACTGGGAAATCACGTGCCCCATAAACATGCCTGGCCAAAAGTAAAAAATAGAAAAGAATAGTTATATTTATATATAATATAGAAAAGAGTTCTATTTGTGGCCCGATTTCGTCATCGATAGTTCTTGTGCTGCTTCTTCTTGCGCGGCATCCGCCTCGATAAGCGCACTTTCGTGCAGCTTTTACTTTCTACTTATTTTCCGCTGACAAAGCGCTTCCAATATTATCGGCCCGCTGCGGCACTACTGAAGTGGGTGGAGAACTCTGCAACTTGGGAACGACAATTTGAAGAAAATAAAACCCACTAAAGACTCAGCTCGAAATGACCGACTGCATAATACGCTGTGGCAGCTGGAAAACAGCAGGAAAAGGGACTTTTGCATAACCCCCGATCCATTGGAAATGCTTAGAAAGAGAATATATATAGGGTGTTGTATGGTATACCATAATGTATATTAAGATCCAGAATATTATACTTCATATGCACACTTCTTGGATACATACTCTATATACACATATATACACATACTCTATGTACAGATCCAGAATATTATACTTACTATACATATACTCTAGATACAAAAGTTGATACTTCTTAGACACATATACAGATAGAATCTATATACAATATATTATACCTCTCCGATCCATCCCCGCATTTGTAGCTAAGCTCTAAGAAACCCATTAGTTAACCTTTAGCCTTGGACTTTGGTATTTATATATATTCGAATGCCATCTTTATGTCCTCCAAATTTCAACAAGATCGCACTATAAACACCCAAGTTATTAAAGAACTTATAAAGTGTTAATGGCTCTCAAACTGTTACAGCTTGTGACTTTAAAACTGTTTTAGATATTGTTATTTAGTTAAAAGTATGCGCCGGGCGTTTGGCGTGGCCAAAAAGTCTGCCCAGCTGACCAGGCTATGTACACATATATCAAATCAAGCCAATATACCCCTTGAGCTTTAAGTACAGGGTATTCAAAAAGTAAAACCTAGCCAACGGGCTGTGGCCCGTCTAAGTCGAGAGTCCAAAAATAAATAAAGAGGCGTACAAACTTTTTTTCAGCCCGATAAGTTCGTTGTGGGGCATGTTAACATTTTGTTTTGCCCCCATGTTGTTGTTGTTGTTGTTGCTGTTGTTGCTGTTGTTGTTGCTGTTGTTGTTTATATTTTGATCGATGGCCTCTGCGTTCCACATACGTTTACTTGTCGAGCGTTCTTTTTTATTTTTTTTTTTTGTTGGTTTTTTGGCTCGTGACTGTTTTTTTATTTTGGAAACGAAGTCGATTTCGATTTCGATCTGTGATATGTTTTTGTTGTCGTTCTGATAGCTGACGCTCAGCAGGCGGCAGGGGGAGGCCCCCACCCACCCCGTCGCCCTGTCACCCGCCCCCTCGCAGAGCTCTCTCTCTCTCTCTCCCTCTCTTTCTCTCTGTAATGTGCGCGCTTTTCAATGGAATTCTGATATGCCATAGTTTTTATCAAATTCGCCAGGCGCACTTGGCATTAAATTGAATTTGAATATATTCACACACACGCTCACACACACACACACACACACACACTAAGCTACAGTTATATACACCTATTTATGTCATAGCCAAAAATATGCAGAAAGCGGCGAAATTCATTCATGAACGTGTCTAAAAGCGAACGCTTCTCGCCTATATAAATAAATAAATTATATGCTTAAATTTGATTAAGCAAATAAATAACAAATAGCAGCAACAACAACAACAACACCAACAAGAACAACTAGCAGCAGGTATTCAATGTGTTAGACAAACACTTTGAGCCAAAATCTACAATGTCGTTGATGACGCAGTCGAGAAAACGTGGGAATGGCAAATAGTTGGCCGGGAAAACCGAGCCACATACGCAAATGCAGAAGGCAAAGAAAATCAACAAAATGTTCTATTACATATTACTATATGTATATGTATATGGAGAGACATTATGTATATAGAATTAATGAAATTTATATAATTAATTTAATTCAATTTATTTATACAATTAATTTAATTTATATATGATTTAAATTATATTTTTGTATGTAAATATTTGAATTTAAATTAATTTATTTATACGATTGATTTAATTTATTTATATAATTAATTTGAATTTAATTTAATTTATTTATATAAATATTTTGATTTAATTTATTTATATAATTTACTAATTTAAATTATTTGCATTTATATATGATTCATTTAATTTAATGTCATTTATTTATATACTTATTTCAATTTAAATTAATTAATTTATATAATTATCCAATTAGCTAATTATGCGGCTTACTTTAAGTCAGATTTGTTGATAGAGCAAAACTCAATATGTAACCTGCTTTAGTTAAAAGTTGTTGGTATACAAATGCTCAAAAAGTTCTCAATGCTGAACTTTGAACTTAGCTGGCACGTCCTTCATTTCTTTATTAAATACAGTCTACTTTAATATCACCTTTGCCTATTTTACGTTGGATTTATCTCTTGATGCTCGCTTTCGTTCAAACAACAATTCTTTAATTGAAAAGCAAATAACATATTTTATCTTTCGTCCTTATGGGGATTCGCTCTCTAAACCGTTTAGGCTGTGGCTCAATTAATCGCTCAGCCAGTCAGGTCAAAGTCTTATACTTGTATAGAGCTTATATATATAGATTTGTTAATATTATAAATATTGTGCATTTAAATCAAGCCTAATTAAACTAAATACAAATTACTGTAATACAAAAGCGGCAGGCAATGTTTGTGTATTTGTAATACTTATTATTTAAATACACGAAATACTCGCAGTACTATATATACAGATATACATATCTATCCATATTCATGCATATATCAATATGTAAGTGGACGGGCGAGTACTTTGCTTTGCTTTGAAGAAAAATCTCAATTTTGCGGCCGCCAGCAAAGCGAAAGCCCAAGTGAAAAGCCAAAGAAGGAACCCCAAAAAAAAAACGTATTTAAAATAAAATATAAATAAAATGCAAATAAAACAAAAGCAAAATAATAAATACATAAGAAAGGAAAAGGAAAAGCAAAAACGTCTGAAAAGATTTTATGCCGCAAGCAAACATGTGATTTTAATTATTTTTGTCGTCGCCAAATTGTTATTTTTGAAAATTATAATTTTTAAAAATAAACCCCAAGCAACAAAAGCAACAACAGCAACTGTGTAGGGCAGTGCAACGAATGACGATAATGATGCTGATGCTGATGATGATGATGCTGATGATGATGTTGATGATGATGTTGATGATGTTGATGATGCTGTTGATGAAATTAATGAGCACACTTGCTATAAAAGACATCTATCTGAACTTTTGGCGCTCGCAGAATTTACGTAGATTTGGGACTTTCTCGTGTTTGCCAAAAGATAATGAAATTCATTTTAAATAAATCTTGAGTTTGTTCGAGAATTTGTTAACATTATTTTAGAGAGTTGCAGCTCGTTTCTTTTTCATTTTCAAATATTTATTTATTTTTAATGATAGCTTTGTCTTCTCTTCCATTTGTA